GAATGCCTTTGATTGGAGAGTATTATCCTTGACTGAAACCTTACAAACTTAACTTCTGCCTCACTCAATATCCTTAAGCAAGTTGGTTAGCTTTTTTGTGCCTGGGTTTCCTCATCTGTTAAGTATGGATAACAATATCTACCATAATTTAACTCACAGGGAGGTTGTGTAAACTAAATGTGTGTAATTCACTGTAAATTATATAGACAATATACTATTTTATATTTAACTATGATTATTATTGCTTTTCACGTGGATGCAATAGAGACATGAACTCAATATCTTAAAAAATATATTTTTTTCTTAGCTAAGAAAAAAAAGAGGAAACAGAAGAAAAGGTTGCCTACTAATAGCGATTACAAGAGAAGATACAGTAAATTACATGATAAATTATTTACTAATTGCCTACTATGTGCCAGGTTGGGATTTGGCAGGACAGGGGTAGGAGGCGTAGGCGAGCTGCTAAGGGGGTGTTAGTCTCCATCCTTTATTCTGGTGGATGACCCCTGACAATCCCACAGACATTATTACAGGCCATTGTCCCTAGAACCTAAAGAGGCAAGGTACTTCTATCAAGGCAGGAAAGGACATTCAAGTTTGGCCATCAAAGATCAGCTAGGCCAAGTAGAGGAGCAAGTCCCATCACAGAGTCATGCTGAGACCGTCAAGTGTAGCCTACAGTAGTTTTACACTGCCTAAAGTAAAATGAGGGGAGAAATTGGTTGGGGATGCCCCATTCTTGAGGGGTTCCCCTGGTAAGCATGAGGGGGAATCCCCTTGAACATGGTAGAACCCTAACAGTAAATATAGGGGGTAGAGGGAGAACACATTCCTGCTTGCTAGTAGGAGGCTGGAAGGGGTTGGGAAATTCCTAAAATCTCCATTTACAGAGTAGGAGATCCCCTTCCGCTACTCAAAGTTCCCTTCTTAACAGAATATTCTGAGATCTGTGATTACTATCCTCTTGAGCTTTGTTGCTGATTCCATCTTCCTTCAGGGCTGAGAGGAAGACAACTGAAAATACATATATACATACACATATATAACTATATAAACACACAGGCACGTACACACATGTATGCACGCACATGCACACACACACACGCACACACACCATGCACAGAGACATAGTGCCTATCATGTACTAGGGATACATGACAAGAAGCAGCAAAGATTTGAATTTAACAGTTTTGAAAGGAAAACAGGCTTTAAAGTTGAAACGAAAGTTCTGAAGTCCATTTTCACTTCCCATCACCTTAATCCAAGATAAGTAATTAACATCAGTAAGTCTTCCCTCTTTTTATGAGGAAGGAGGATGTAGTAGTTAAAATATGATACATAGCCGGGCTCGGTGGCTCAGCCTGTAATCCCGCGCCTTTGGGAGGCTGAGGTGAGTGGATTGCCTGAGCCCGCGGGTTCAAGACCCGCCTGGGCAGCGAGACCTCATCTCTACAATAAATCAAAAAATCAGCCGGGCGTGGTAGTGCATGCCTGTAGCTCCGGCTACTTGGAAGGCTGAGGCGGAAGGATCGCCGAAGCTCAGCGGGTTGAGGCTGCGGTGGCCGGGAGCGGCCACTGCACTCCAGTCTGGGCGACAGAGTGAGACTCCAACTCAAAAAAAAAAAAAAAAATGATACATGTATTTATTTTCAAAATGCCTAGAATCAAAAAACAATGTATTAAAAACATAGCATGGTATTATTATGACATTTTCGAAATGTGGCACGTATTACAGCCAAAGTAGGCAAAATTCTCTCATTTCTACAGGATACAAATTAGGCCAGGATAACAGACTTCACTATCTTAAACTTTCCAGCAACTAAAATGAAGCAGGACAAAAACATAACTACAACTCTACCAGCTTAAGGATCTATATCAGAATTTCAAGCTCTTGATCAGTGATGGCCAGGTGACAGTATAGATAAGTGTGACAATATGCTGAAAAAAATCACAGCCAAAATCTTTTTGTGGTAGATTAGTGTCATTCTTTACCTTAAAACTACTTGTAACCTATGAGGTAATTTTTTTTTGGTCTGATATACAACACTGCTTATTTACACAGGTACTAATAGTGAATTAAGTGAAAGTTGCTTTGAATAAACCTATACAATCTATGTACACGAGTCTGGATGTGTATTCATGTGTTTAGTCTATTTAAAAATATTAAGACAAATGGTATTTTATATGTTAGAGAGAAAATATATATATATATATTTTTTGAGTTGGAGGGTCACTGTCACCCAGGCTGGAGTGCAGTGGCACGCTGACAGCCACTGCAGCCTCGACTTGCTGGTCTCAGGCAATCCTTCCACCTCCGCCTTCCAAATAGCTAGAACTACAGGCATTCGTCACGACGCCTGCTAATTTTTTGATTTATTGTAGAGACGGGGGTCTCACCAAGTTGCTCAGGCTGGTCTCAAACCTGTGGGATCAGGCAATCCCCTCGCCTCTGCCTCCCAAAGTGCTGGGATTACAGGCGTGAGCCACCGTAACCAGCTTGTTTTCTTAAATATTAATTTTTTACAAAGACTAGTCAAGTGCAGCAGTGAGAAGGTGGGAAAAATGAACCAAGTAATAACCTAATGTGAGCAATCAATTGAGACAACTCACTATCGTGGGAGCAGTCAAAAATGTTTTTTTAAAAGCTAATCTTGAAAGATATATGCCGGAGCCCAGCAGATGAGGCTGTGGTGGCCGGGAGTGGCCACTGCACCCCAGTCTGAGTGACAAGAGTGAGACTCCAACTCATAAAAAAAGAAAGATATACTCTATTCCACATGTTATACAAAGTTTCACATATTGCTCTTATTTGTAAAATAGAAAAAAATTTCTGAAGAGAACAAGACTCATAAAACTAGAGGGCCTAAAAATTGTAACACAAGCTCTTTAAAAATATATACCAGCTTAAAACATAACTCCTCCCATTAGATGACCTGTAACTATAAAGAGCTCATGTATAGTTCTCATTTTATGCACATTATAACATGTACAATTAATGAAAAAAATACCGTCATATATTCTTATGCTACTCAACAGTTATCTTGAACATATTTTTAAATCAGTGTGTGATTCAACTTCTAGTAAATATATTTCCTAAAGGAGTAAAAAAATCTCTCTATAGTTTGAGAACATCTTTTTCTAACCTGAAATAGACTTGAACGTAAGGTTTATCTCACATTGCCAATAAGTCAATGAGTCTAAACACTTCAGTATTTGCTAAATTTAGTGTATTAAAAACATTTTTAAGGAGCATAAGGGCTCTAAGTTGGAAAAGCTCTTTCTGAAAAATTCGACCAAGATTATAATTATGGGAGTTTCACTTCCAGTTCATTCTGTTCGAATCCATCTAAATTCCACATGCAATGTAAACAGAAAAAAAAAAAACACAAAACCTACAACATGAATTCTTGACTTCAGACACACTCTCTTCGGAGCCGCACACGACGTCGGCATAAGCAGACTCCTCCCCGCTTCTGGGGAAAACCCTGCCTAATATTTATAACGTTATGACATACTGTAATACTCACAAGGTGGTTGTAGAAGTATAAACACGACTGGCGTGATCTGATTGGCTGCTGGTGATGTAACACCCATGTCAATACTTCCCAGTGAACGCACGTGTTCGACCTTTTATTTAAATTTCCATTTCATCACAGCAATAAGACACTCGGGGCGGTGCATTTTCGGTGAAATGATTATTGCCTTGGGCCCGAGGTGCCGCCTCGCACAACGCATCCGAGGAGGAGGCGCCCGGGGCTGTACCCTCCTCGCATGAAAGGCACCGCCTGGTCCAGGCTTTGTGAAGGAACAAAATAAGTTCACTTCCTCGGGCACCGCCACCCACCCCCCGCAAATGACAAGGCTGGAGCGCCGCTCCCACCGCACAGTTATTTGCAAAGTCCCAGGTGAACTCGTGGCGAGAGGAGGAGAATGCGCGTCCCGGGCGCGGTAGGTGCGTGCGGGCAGCGGGGAGGCGGCCAGACCCTGACACTCGCCAGCTGTTTGTCCTCCGCGCAGCCCGGCCCCGGCCGCACACGCCCGCCCCCGCCCCGGGACCCCCAG